GTTATCGCGGACGAATAATACCTTGGATCAACGACGCGCCATGGAAGGAACATTCACGTGGATTTATCCTACTGTTCCGGTCCCACTTGAACTTGAACTGCCTTGTGATATCCGCGCTTAATTTCGCGCACCCTCTCGGACTAGTAGTTACTAGTCCTCCAAAATTCAAGTTTGGGCGGGACTGGAACGATAGTAGAATCCCGTGAGTGTTCCATTTTGAATGGATCGTTGAGCCAGGAATTGATGAAGTGCTCAGAGTTATTGATGGATCTAAAACGAAACACTCGTATCGCACCCAGGCCAACCAGTGAATGCCCACGTTTCCTGACCTAGCAATCCCTGCTGTGGCAGTCACGTGAAGTAAGCAAAGGATAGGAAGGGAAACCGAAGGTACAGAATAAGGAAGTGCACTTGAAATAAGATAATAATACCGATGCATGAAGAAAAGTAGAGAAAAGAAAAGCAAAGTATGAAGATGCGAGTTAGCCATGAAATGGAAAGGTTTCGTGTTGCCACCAAAGAGCGTAAGTTCAAGTTCAAGTGGGACTGGAACGATAGGATGAATCCCGTGAGTGTTCCTTCTTGAGCGGGTCGTCGATCCAGGAGTTGATAGGGGTGCTCCGACTTCTTGATGGGTCTAAAAGGAAAACACTCGAAAACACACCCTGGTCCACCAATTTAATGCCCACGTTCCTTACAGCTGTCCCAGCTATGTCAGTTACGTGAAATAAGAGAGGAAGAAAAAGCGAAGGCAAGAGAGTAGGGGAAATCAGTTAAAAGAAGAGAATAATACCAATGGCGAGGAAAAGTAAAGAAAATAGAATCGAAGTATGAAGATGGGAATTAGTCAGGAAAAGGGAAAGGTTTCGTATTGCCACCCAAGAGCGTCTAGTTGACGCTCAAACCCCTTAACCGTAGCTTCCTTGACAACATTTTCTGGAAGCAGGTTCCAGCGCTCGATGACTCGACGTGATAACCGTGTCTCCGCTCTAACTCGATCGGGCCGCGGTTTGTCCAGCTTCATACAATGCCCGCCGAGACCAGATAATCTAGCAGGACTAAATAGCCAGGACAAATCAGGGCCAACCTTCCCAGTCCAAATACGGTAGGTTAGGATTAGGTCCCCTCTAATCCTTCGATAGTGCATTGACTGCATCCCCAAATTAGTAGGCGTTCGGGGTACGTTTGCCCTCGTAATCCCTTGACCAACCTAGTACCGACACGCAACACCCTTTCTAGTGCCATTTTGTCCCGGACAAGGCATGGTGGACAGGCCTGGACGCAATATTCTAGGTGGGCTCGCACAAACGCTGAGAAGAGCTTCACAAACACATCAGCGGTTAGGGTCCCGAAAGAACGACGAATAAACCACAACATCCAGAACTCTTTACTAGCCGCCTTCTTCCAGTTGTCTCCAGAGTGTAGTGTGCAACAGTGGATCATACCTAGATCAACCTGACGAGTCACGTGAAGTTTACTACCATCCAGCACATAAATTGTGGAGGAATCAGACGCTCTGATACGTAGCACTGAACACTTTGCCCGGTTTATGGGCAGCAGCCACAAGACAGACCATTCCCAGAGTCTATCCAGAGCCCGTTGAAGAGTCACAGTACCTCCAGGGATAGCAACAATATTCCAGAGCTTTAGGTCATCAGCAAATAAGAGCGATGGTACCTCAAGCTCCCCCGGCAAGTCCTTCAATTAGACTGAGGACAGCAGCGGACCTAGGACAGAGCCTTGCGGAACTCCGCTAAGTACAGCTTGTCGAAACGAAAGACTGCTTCCCATGAATACACTGTTCCCGTCCATCCAGAAAAGCTGACACCCACTGGAGAGCGCGATCAGATATTCCATACGACCTCAACTTCAGTGAGAGTCGCGAATGGGGGACAGTGTCAAAGGCCTTGGCGAAGTCAATGAACACCACATCCACCGCATGTCCACTGTCTACGGCTTCAGCCTAGCTCTCACGAGCTACCAGCAAGTTCGTTTGACACGAAAATCCTTTGCGAAAATCATGTTGCTCGACGCTAAGCAAGTTAAACCTATTTAAATGGTTCTCCACTATATCTCGTACTAATTTTTCAAGTAACTTAACGACCACGCAAGTCAACCTGACAGGCCTGTAATTAACCAGGTCTTTGTCACCGCACTTGAAAATCGGGCAGACAATAGCTTCCTTCCATTCGGTAGGCAAGATACAGCTGTTGAGTGACTTCTGAAACACAAGTCAAAGGTCCACTGAGTTCCCCTGCCAATTCGTGTAACAATTTTGGATGAACAGAATCTGGCCCGGAAGCCTCAGTTGGGTTCACCTCTCTTAGCAACCGGAGAACTTGGGACTCAGTTACAGAAATTTCATCCAGACAACAGTCCTCAGAGACTCTTGAAGCTAACACTTTGCACGGCGTATTTGTTTCGCGGACAAAGACGCTTGAGTACTGCATACCAAGCACGCATGCCTTGTCATATTCGCTAGAGGCATGAATCCCATCTCCTGGAAGCAATGGTGGTATTGGCGAGTTCGCACCACAGCGTCGTTTAACGTAGGCAAAGAACTTCTTGGGATTTTCCGAGGCGGTATCAGCTAAGCCCTTCTTATACTGAAGCCGGGCGAACCTAAGATGCAGCTTGCGCTCATTTCGAACCAACTGATACTTGTCAAACGTGCTGTTCGACGGAGCTGTTCGGTACGCTCGCCAGCATCTAGACCGCTTCTTTAGCAGGCCCTTCCCCGCGGAATCTATCCACGGAGGCTGCGCTCTTGATTCCCTTCTTTTTACCCTTGGGATGTGAGGTGCAGAAATGTCTACGAGGTGAGCCTTAAGTTTTTCCCAGGCTATGTGAACAGTGTCGGTCTCAGATATCACACAAGGCGATGACCTAGCTTTATCCCGCATCGCTTGGAAGTCCGCGGCCCAAATGTTCGGATACCAACTGGTAGTAGCTTGGCAAGGCCTGATAAGGGTACACTGGAAAGACAAGCAAACGTGATCGCTAGCGCCAAGAGGCGAGTCGTATTTAATGTCAATTACAAAGTCAAGTGACTTAGCAAATACAAGATCTAAAATGGACGGCTGCTGATTGCTCATGTACCTAGTGGGGAGGTCCACGAACTGGTGTAGTGGTACCTGTAGCGTTAAGTACAGTTGCTCTGTACCGAACGATTCCAGAGCCGAACTGCAAGATAGATCATCCCAACAAACCTCTGGGAGGTTGAAGTCTCCCAGCACCAAATACTTGTTCGCAGAGTGAGTACGTATAAACTCAATGATTCCATTGAAGGTGCTCATAGGGCTTCTATACACTAACACGACCGTAACCTGAACCGAGGAAGCGCAAATCAAGACTGCGAGTGCCTCAACAGATATGTCGAGAGACTGAAAAACGCTGGTCCTCAGTACGTCGATGTGATAACTCACATAAAGAGCTACACCACCCCATTGACGGCCAATGGAGCGGTCAGCACGGAACAATGCGTAGCCAGGTAGATATACTTCGCCATCTATGATTTCCTCAGACAGCCAGGTTTCATTGAAAGTAAGTATGTCTGGACGAGATTTGTCTACGAGCAGACCCACCTCGCACATCTTGTTTCTCAGGCTACGCACGTTACTAAGTACTACTTGGAGGGCTTCGGCACGACCAGCCCTGGGTCGTGCGCAAGTAGTATATGTTCTGGCAGGGCAGAAAAGGATCGCTGGCTGACCACCTGAAAACCCACCAATCGGAGACCTTGCTCGTCAGCTGCACGCCGGGCTTTTAGGTCTCTGATGGCTTCCTTTAACTCTAACCCATCCGCTAACGGAAGGTCTGGTTGCACACTAACGTTGGTACCTTTGAGCTTGAAGGCAAACGTCAGTAAGGCCCTGCGCTCTTCTGGGGTGGAGAGGACCACCCTAAGCAGACGGGGTTGAGGATTGGTTTGACCAACCGGGACGTTCCCCAATCTGGTGAGCTTCCTGACAGTAACGCCAGGAAAGGCTGGTGGTAAAAGCCTGGTCACGCAAAGTTTAAGCCAACCAAGAGCATCAAGCATGCGCTCGGTGGGAACAGCCGCAGTGAATTCAGTGACGTTTCTGAAAATCACACTACTATCTGTGTAAGAATCGCCTCGATGAGATGTATTTACACCACATGCCCTACCATCCACGCCACATGGTTGTTTGACGAATCGGTGGGACCGAAGGCGACGGCAACACTTGTCTCACTGAGGGAATTGCAACACCATGTGGTGTTTCCAACGCAGGCGCTTGTTTCTTGAGCATTTTATCACATTCCGGTTTGGGGGCGGAGGGTTTGCGCGTTTTTGCACTCTTACGCTTATTCTTCAATGGCCCAGGAGCCCGTGACTCGCCTTCCAGTTGGGACAGGTCAACAATGCCGTCCGAGGCATCTGTCAGTTATCTCCATATGAACTGGAGCGTCCGGTAGGATAAACGCCTCGTCAACGGATGGACTGTCAGCAGAAGGACAGTCCGTTACAGCGTTCACATTCGTAATATTCAGGGATTTCATAAACAAATCCACTTTAGAGTTGAGCGAGGCAAGAGGCAAGCTCGGCTAATGTCTTCTCAACAACTGTGAATCTGGATGCTAGTGATTTGAATTCAGCACAGGTGAAAGCCGGGAGCTTCGCTTTCTGAGCGCAACAATCAGCACATCTAAACAGGTTTTCACTGGATGACAGCAAATTGTACTGATTCGCTCGGAGGCCGGTACAACATTTGTGATATCAACGAGAGCAAATATCGCACTGCATACCACCAGATGAATCCGTAACTGGCCTTGAACAGGCAGAATTGCTGCAAGCTGCATTTGACTCTTCAAACGAGGACGCAAGGGGTTCAACCGCCTCGGTTTTTCGCGAGACCACCATGTTAAAATGGAAAACAGAGCAGAATTTAAAAATACGTATACAACCGTAAAACGACCACAATAAAAAAGCAAAACAGGGTGACAAACGGGATTAAAAAAGGGAACAACCGCAAAATTACCAGTAGGCGGCAGGAAGACGCTTTGGCCAGTACCACTTTAGTCGATTCAAGATATCTTGGATCAGAGGAAATTTGACAATAGTCAAATTCCATTTCAAGTGTTTATTCAAACACTGTTTTCCATGTTATTTCAGCTACAAATCTCGATCAGTATGGCACGCCAAAATATCGAGTCACCGCGTAGCACTCACAGGACGTAAAGTTGCCGCTCAAACCGCTTAACCGTAGATTCCCTGATTACACCTTCCGGAAGCATGTTCCAGCAAAGGGAAGCCGGAGAGCCTCGGATTAGTGGAAAGCAGCCAATCGTTGTTTGGGGGCGTTACTGTTTGCTGTAATGAGTGTTATCACGGAAGATTGGTAAATACGTTGTGAGGACTTAATAGCGTTTTATTTAAGGTTACTTGAGTTAGTGGATGCGAATGGTGGTACAATTTTGTACGTATGCAAGTGTGTTTGTATTAGTGCACAAGTGCTGTTTGGGTTTCACTGCAATGGGTACAATGGCTGTGAATATGTAATACATTCCGGATGGTAGGTTTGGGACACGGACGAGTAGTTGTAATATACAAGCTCGGGAGAACTCCGGAGATTGGAACTGGAGATTTATTAAGCACACGTAGGAAAAGTCAATCTTCTTCTGCTTGCACCTTTTCCGTTAAAGCACACGACTAGGTTCCTGCAAGACAAAGGAGAGCGCAGCGTTAGCACCAATTCAAAGTCAAGCAGCGCGCCACGACAGTTTCTGTTCCACACTACACTACACCCTCCCTCCTTCGAGCGCCGTTCCCAGTGCTACCCGTAGCCCCCTCAGCTGGTACTTCAAGTTCACGAGCGACCACTGGTGGTGTATCTGCCCTCTCTGACTCAACTGACTCAGCTTCTCGTCTACAGGGTTTGAGGCGATTGAAATGGACAACTATAGGTTGACTATTAGGGTTGTTACGATCCTTTATCATGCAGGCGGCCTCAGAGAGCACTCGTTCTACCGTATATGGACCCGTCCACTCTCTGTGAAACTTTGCCGGCACTCCTGATGCTTGAGGTTGGTGTAACCAAACTAAATCACCAACTTTCAGGGTACGCCAAATACCTTCTTGTCGTAATATTCCTTCTGACGCCGGTGTGCATTCACTAAATGCACTCATGCTGACTGATGAGACTGCCAAAGAGAGTCTAACAACTTGCTAACATATTCCATAACCGACGGCTGTAGCTGTTGCGTCATCGGTAGACGTAGATCCTATGGTAATCGTGCCTCTCTTCCCGTCCACATAAGGAATGGTGTCTGTCCCGTCGATGAATGTACCGTGTTCCTGTATGCAAGTAGGCATCTGGGCAGCACATTGTCTCACTCATTGATATTCCTGTCCGCGAAGGCCTTCAGCAACGATTTGAGAGAACGATTTGTTCTTTCCACTTGCCCATTTCCTTGAGGATGCTACGCTGTGGTTCGAGTTTTGTCTATCCCAAGTAACCGACGAACTTCAATTACCATTGAGCTCTCAAAGCACGATCCTTTATATGAGTGTAGCTGCCCTGGTGCACCCCAGTGGCAGATCCAATGATTTGCCAAAGCTGTTGCCACAGTAGACGTATCCGCCTGTCCTATCGGTATAGCCTCGCACCATTTAGTAAAGTAATTGATCATGACCAAACAAAGGCGATTACCTCGTGGCGTCTCAGGTAAAGGGCCCATGAGATCCACTCCTACTATCTCTTTAGGATAGCCGGCCACCATGGGCTGCATGGGTGCACGATGAACGATACGAGGGTTTTTAAAGGCACCACATTCTTCGCGCGCTTGACAGTAGTTGAGCACATCCCTCCGTTGATGGGGCCACCAGAAACGTCGTCGAACCGCTTCGCCCATTTTATTGATCCCTGCATGTCCCATTTCCTTGTGTAAAAAGCTCAGTACTTTTCTAAACATAGAGTGCGGAACGATGATTCTTCTCGTGTACCTCGGTCCGAAATTGAAAACCAAACTCCTTCTTCGATGGTCAGGTAATCCCACATGGCCCAAAGGCAACGTTCTCCATAACTTTTCCCTTCCATCACTTTACTCGTTGGTTTGTCGCCGCCAGTAAGACGCCTCTCGTAGATCAATGCGGTATCGGGATCGTTCGACTGTGCCGTTTGCCACCGACCATACTCTGCACTTTGAAGATTGACGATTGCTACGTGTTGCGTACTACACGAAGTTCACTGTCCGTGGTTGCGAGGGGGAATTGGTGACAACGCATCAGCATTAGCGTGTTGCTTACCGGGGCGATGTCTGCACTCAAAGTCATATTCCTGCAATTGCTCTTGCCAACGCGCGATTTGGCCTTCGAGGTCTTTGAAATTCTGCAGCCACCGAAGTGATTGTTGGTCTGTGCGGACCGGAAACTTTTGACCTAATAGATAGTGTTGGTGTTGTTTGATGAAATATACCAATGCCAACATCTCTTTCCTAGTCGTGCAGTCATTTCGCTCACTCGGGCTAAGTCTGCGACTACAATATGCCACGACTCGTTCGACACCATCCGATCCAAGTTGTGATAACACCGCTCCAATCGCCTTATCACTCACATCAGTGTCCAAGATAAACTGGCCAGCAGACGGGGACAAATCGGGAACTATTAGCAAAGGGGCCGTACAGAGAGATTCACGTAGGTGATTGGAAGCCTCTGCGCACTGCTTCGACCATTCGAACATTCGACCCTTCTCTAGGAATGAGTGTAATGGGGCTGCAATAGATGAGAAGTTTCGAATAAATCGTCGGTAATATGATGCTAACCCGAGAAAACTACGTAACTGCACCGTAGTGGTTGGCGTTGGCCACGATCTGACCTGTTCAGCCTTTACCCGGTCAGTTCGAATACCATCCCCAGATATTATGTGCCCTAAGTACGCCACTTCCCTTTTCAAGAGATGACACTTTGAGGGCTTAAGCTTTAATCCCACTCTCACCAAGCATTCCAAAACACGCCAAATTGTCCAAGTGTTCATCCTCCGTCTTTCCATGTACGATGACATCATCCAAATACACGAGGCATTTACGCGGGATCAGGTCGGCTAATGCTTTTTGCATAAGGCGTTGGAAGGTAGCTGGAGCGTTAGTTAAGCCAAATGGCATGGTCTGAAACTCGTACAACTCGGAGGGCACGACTAAGGCGGTTTTCGCTCGATCTCGCTCTTCTACTTCCACCTGCCAGTAACCGGAAGCCAGGTCAAGTGTACTAAAATACACAGATCCGCCAAGTGCGTTGAACAGATCGTCGAACCCTGGAAGTGGGTAGGCCTCCTTTCGAGTAGCCTCGTTCAATCTTCGGTAATCGACGCATAATCGAAAGCCACCGCCCTTTTTCTTTACCAGGACAACAGGAGATGCCCACGGAGAGTTGGAGGGTTGGATAACGTTTTTCTCTAACATCTCATCTGTCAGCTTCTGTATCTCACCCTGCCAGTGGATTGGAATACGTCTCGGAGGCACTTTAATCGTTCTAGCCACACCAGCGTCTATAGCATGTTTCACCAGACCGGTCCGTCCCAACTCGCCTTATTTCCATGCAAAGGCGTCTGAATAATTTTGTAGGACCTGCGCTAATCGTGCCTGTGTTAATGTGTCAGCTGAAAGTCCAATCGACCGAATAAAATCGTCTACACCTTGTTGCTCTTTGATAATGCACGCATATAACGTAACATCCTCAAAATTGCTGTTGCTGCAGGTTCTCAGTAGTATGGTGCACGAATCAATGATTAGTTGAGACGTTTCCAGGTGAAGTCGGCATTTGAACCTCCACAGATCTATTCTGATAATAACATCAAACGATATCCGATCAGCAACAATAAATTCATGGTTAAACTTTGTGCAGGCTACAACAACGGGGGCAACGATGGAGTTCCGAACAACTAGTGGTAGCCCGTTGGCCGCGGTAAGGCGAGCGTTACAAAGTTTTCTAACACAGTTTGAGAAGCGCCTATTCACGCTGGCCCTGATTATGCTTCTAGCTGCGCCAGTATCCACTAGCTCCAGTAAGCAAATCCCAGCTATCGATAATTCTAGTGTTAGCGACTTCACAATCGAGTTGCAAGTAAGAGATGGTATCACAAATGATATCATGGCATGCACACCTGGCGTGTTCCTGTAGCGAGACGATCCGCGGTATGACGTTTGTCTGCGGGGCCAACGAAAACCTGATTGTGCCGGTCTTCGTGGGGCGGGATATCTCTGAAGACGACCAGGGTTACCTGTCATTCTTTCAGGTAGGACGCGTATGGGTCGTGCGTTCCCTCTTACAGCAAAACAGCCAGATGTAGGTTTACCCAACGCTGCATCTATTTCTTCCAACTGGTCGCATGTTTCCAATGCTTCGTCCAAACGGCGGGGAGGGTATCGCAGGAACTCCCTTTTAATAGCCGGCGTTTGAATGCCCTCTAGGAGTTGCCCTACGACCAGTTTTTCACGTTCGTCTGGCGTTTCGTTCTCATATGCGATATCGACCATCATCTACAGCTCGCGAACGTACTTGCGGATGGTTTCCCCCGGAGATTGGTAACGTGCATGGAATGCCCTGCGTAGGGGCGCAGGTAGACCGGGGCGGGCTAATAATAGGCGCATGGCGGAAAAGTCTCGGTTGTTAATTCTTTCTCCAAGAGTTTACTGTCTGCAAACAATATCAAAGGCCTCTCTCGAGAGCAGGCCAGCGAGCACAGCTGTCTGTTGGTTGGATGGGAAAAGACGCAGATGAACCTGGACTTGCTTTTCCCACCTGGGGTACAGCATCCCCAGGGTAAAGCGTTCTGGCGGCGAGATAGATGGCATGCTGGTTGAAGAAGTTGGTGAAGTCGACATTTTCTGCAAAGTCCGTGATAACACATCGAGCGAAGCGGCGAGCTTTGACGTCGGGTCATTGGCGTCAAAATTACTTTCGTCAGCGGCTTTTTCGGTTGTCTTCTGCATTATCTTCATTAGACCAGTGATACAGGATTCCTGATGAACGGGCCTCGGCAGGGTCTCCAATATTGTAATATACAAGCTCGGGAGAACTCCGGAGGTTGGAACTGGAGATTTATTAAGCAACACATAGCAAAAGTCAATCTTCTTCTGCTTGCACTTCTTCCGTTAAAGCACACGACCAGGTTCCTGCAAGGCAAAGGAGTGCGCAGCGTGAGCACCAGCTCAACGTCAAACAGCGCGCCACGACACATTCCGTTCCACACTATATAGTCCCGGCTACAAAGGAA